GAATTGTCGACCTTCTATCAACAATGTCTGAAGCCCAGTCGGCGTCTATATAGGCATCCATTATTTCGGTTAAGTTATTGTCGTAGACTGAATTTAAAAAACGTATATGATACAAATATTTAAGAACGCGCAATGCATATTTGAAGCGAGTACTATTAAAACTATTTTGATATCTGCTCAAGTAGTTAACTGAGTATGAAATATCTGGGCGTGAACCATTTGCTATATACAACAAAGAGCCAATTAAATTTCTATATTTTAGTTCAATTTCGACTTCATCAGCACCCTCTAATTTTAAGTTCATTTCCATTGGTGTATCATAAATTTTTGAATCCCTAATATCATATTTAACAGCTATATTTTCAATATATTTTTGCTGGTTTGAAAATATTTTTTGTTCATTTAAATTATGCCTAATTTCAATACCCAAATATTGTTTTACTTGACCTGTGTGATTCAAATTTTTTATCTATTACAGTTTTTATTTCAAGAATAGAGTTTTCATCAAAACTAAATATCAACAAATCATCTACATATAAAATTATGAACACTAGATCATCATTAACGTTTCCTATGTACAAACAATAGTCATGATATGATCTTTTAAAGTTTAAGTTTACTATAAAATTGTGAAAACATTCATACTAGTCTCGGGGACTTTTCCTTTTCCAGTGATTTCTTCAGAAGACATACTTTATTTTTCATTTGGTTCAATATTATAGCGATCAAGAGGATAAACATATACTTCAGATTCAATTTGTCCATTTAAAAAAGCCGCTTGAACATCCATTCGTTCAATGTTGAAATTTCTATTACAAGCCACCGATAGTAACATTTTATAGTATTTAATCGTGCCAAAGGCGAATATATTTATTCATTTTCTTGGTACATTTGTTGGAATGCTTTAGCAACAGTAGGGGCTTTATATTTTCCATCAGCTTCAATTCTGTATATCAATTTAACTTCAACAATTCGTTTATATTTCGGTTCATTCACTATTTCCCTTGTATCATTTTCTTCTAAATTCCTGACTCTTCATTCATTGCATGATTCCATTTAGCATGATCTTCACAACTCATGGCTTTTTCATAACTCTAGTATTTCTGCACTTGTATAATTCACCAAATCATCATCAAATCTATTTGGTAATTTCATCTCTCTTCTTGGTCTTTCTTCACGTGTCACTTCTTCTTGTTTTTCTCCAATCTCATTTTCTTCCAAAGAACTTCCTTTTCTTCTGTTTTCTTCTTCTCCGTTTTCAAATCTGATATACTTTGTATCTTTCTCAATGAATTGTACATGTCGACTTATAAGTAACTTGTTGATAAATTGATGGATGTAGCCGTTACTACGTGGTAGAAAATCATAATGGAAAGAGAAATGAAAATTTCTATGTTTTTTACCACTTTCATTTGTGCAGTAACGTGAATTACAAATAAAAGTGGTAAAAAACATAGAAATTTTCATTTCTTATACTTATACAATGAACGTATTGTATGAGTTTGAAAATATCCATATAGGACGAAACGGCAGTAACGTAAGTTACAAATAAAAGTGGTAAAAAACAGAAATTTTCATTTCTTTTTTCAACTAACTTGTTTTCAACTGATATTTCATAACCTGTATCTGTATAGCCTACCAATATTCATTTAACTGCTTTATGATTTGGCTTTGATGATCTATTCTTCAGGTATTCTAACATAAGCAATACTTTCGTATAAATGTAGGTTTGAAACATTTGGTTTTCTATTAAAAAATATTTCATAAGAAAGCACAAGTGATAAGAAATGAGAGTTCAGAGAGTGAATTCTTGTTGCTTGTAACTATCCAATGGAATTTAAGATCTAAATCTTGTGCAATGTTATATTCATGATGACGAATAAAAGAACAGTTATTATTTAGGTCTATTTTATGTACGGAAAACACTGAAGAGAGTGAAATTGAATTACACAATACATATTCGGGAGAGAAATAAATATATAAGGATTTGGAAGAATCTTGAGGTTTGGTTAGAATTCAGAAATTGTTGTCAGAGACATCAGCTTTGATGAGCCAATTTTCTATAGTTTGTGCCTGTATTTCTTGGTCCCGTATGACAAAAACTTGTCGATTTTGATATTGCACGTAGCTTTTGCATTCCGTTTCGACCTTCACAGCATATGACATCAGCGTAACTATAACTGAAAAGTAGGATGTGCCATTTGTTTAATAGAAAACAAATTCATTCACCTGTCATTGCCAGATTTACCCGTCAAGTTTGGTTTGACTTTGAAATAAATGCAAGGTTATTATCTGCCCCGAAACAGATGCGTAGACTCAACACATAACATTTGATATTTCAGAACAGACTGATATTTCTCACGCATATACATGTCTAACATGAACTAGGTACCACATATTCAATGATGATTCGAAATGCTACACCATATTTTTTCTTGAAATATAATTACAATACAATTTGAAGCAACATAGTAGATGATATTGACGTAACTTCAACTGAAACGTGGGTATCGCCTCACTTTGGTCTCTTTTTTTCCACATATTGGCAAAATCTGATGATGAAGTTTGGTTCAACCTTGAAACTGAATACTGAAATTTTCTCGAGGGTCGAGTTTTCATGTATGCCGATGACACAACATTGTGACGTCCCCAGATCTCAATGAAATTGAAAATAAAACGTAACTAGTAATCTTTTGATAAATAATAGAAATAAAACAACATTTATCCAGTTTTCAAGTAAGTATCAGCGCCCTTTCCAAATAAATCTAGGATTCGAAACAACAGAATATACAAAATTTCTTGGAACACAACTTGACAATGAATTGTCTTTCAATAATCACATCGAATACTTGTGCACTTCTCTGAAAAACGTATTTTGCCTTCCAAACAATGAAATTAAATTTTTTGAGACATAATCTCTTGGATATATATATATACTATGGTCTAATGTATTCCAAGCTCAATATGAATATC